AGATATTGTATGAGGGTGAGGGTGACCGACGGCCAGCGGTAATCTCCATATGTGACGATCCGATCTGTTGTTTACCAATCGGATCGCGGACCCTACAAGAACCTCATTTCCGCACAACATGTGGTGCCTTTGACTGATATCGAATTTCTCACCGCACGTTGGTTATTAGCGCACGTTAAGGTGAAGTTAAGGTAAGGTAAATTGCAAAGAACTGACAAAATGATATGGTGAAGCATTCGATCCCGCTGGTGTGCGCCATGCATTCTACTTCCGTTCAGAATCGCTGTAGCATTTCAATGTAGTTGATGGGAGAATTAGTTAGGACGGGTGTAGCTATTCTTCCAGCTGAACCTGAGAGTGGAAGACAGGATGCATAACCATTTTATGTCCCCTGCAACCGTTATATTGCGAGAATTCTGAATTCTATGACACGCCCCAAATTTCCACTTCTTCGCATGTCCCATATCAGCTCTCTCCTCCATATAAAACCACCCACGTTAGAAAAATTCCAAAGGACGGTTGACCTCAAGTTTCTCTGGTTCGATTCGAATGACGTTTGCAGAGTACCCGACAAAAGGCCGTCGCGCGGCGAGAAGGCAGAGACGCAGACGGGTCAGCGGACGAGTCGCAGCGCGTGCTGTGTGATGTGGGACGTACTATAGTACATTCTATTTAACTTGACGCGAAATCACTGCAGTACGCGCTGCGACTCGTCCGCTGACCCGTCTGCGTCTCTGCCTTCCCGTCGCGTGACGGGCATCCTGTGGTACCCACGTTTGCACCATGCTATTGAGCAAAAACTCCAAGTTGGACAAATCAGCTTTCTACTACTGTGAACTTATGTAGAATTTTGAAAGTAGGTGAACAAAGAAATAGCGACTGTACCTTCTGAATTACTTTGAGCGAAAGAACTGCATAGGCTACTGAGTACGATCCATCACCTCCCAAGAATTACAGAATACGACCCCTTTCTCCCTTTTCGCCTTATTCGCCTGACGGAGGGAGGTTTGACCAGGATTAGCCAACGTCGAGGACGCTTCAATCTCAGAGGATTGAATTTAGTGGGATATGAACCTATGGAGATACCCTATAGGTTCTACGAATTGTATGCAAACCGCCTAAGAAGCCGCGCTGGCTACTAAATTCCCTTGTCACATTGCTCACACGGGGTTAATTTTTGCTAAAAATGGAGTTTCGGGTGAGTTAGTCATTATTATAGGCAGTTTTCGGGATGTCTGCGACGTTTCGTTGTTAATGGAGTGCTGCAATCCCTTGAAGTCGACGAGAAATACTCCAGCGAGGTGGGGTGGTTCTTCTTTACCATCCTTGAGTCATCGACTTCTCTTTCATTTTTTTCCAACGTTTCAAATTCCAGTTCTTCACAAAAGCGGTCAGTGGTGACGTGACAAGCCGGATGCTCTTTCGGTTCCGCCCACCTGGCAATGTTCCAAAAACCTGGAGTTCTTGCGTCTCTGCTCTGCGTCGCAGTATTTGTCGCCGCTGCATCGGTGGTGTTAGCTGTCGCAAGGGTGATCAGACGGCGCGAAGCGTCAAATGAGATCACCTGGCAACGAACGGAGGTTTGCTTGGCATAAGAATGGGCCGAAAAGAGTTGGAAGAAAAACCACTCTTTGACATTTGAGGAATTTTTGATCTACTTAAGAAATTGACGCATATGCAATGCGTAAACCAGGAGCGACCATCTTTGGACACACATTAATCGGGCAATGACTTCAACTCTGGAACCGCCTATCTACGCTTCGGCAGACGGTTACGAAACGCCGATCCATCTGGTGCGTTCTCTTTAATGTATCCTGCAGAAAAATCGATTTTTTATGTGCATAACTTCACGCGGAATATCAAAATATTGACGAAAAGCAATTCACGTGCTGGGTTAGAAATTCTCGCTTCCCGAGCCCTTGTGGACATGGGGGTGGAGCCAAGAGGACTACGAAAAGATTGATAGATTGTTACGTGTTAGGTCACGCGTTGTAGGATGTAAATCACGGTTGAACGCCATAAACACGTTAAATTACATACATTCATACGTACGCGTTGAACACGTCTACACGTCCATGTCCAACGCTTAGGGAAACTGCCCGCTTACTAGATTTTTAGGCGACGACACACCAAGAACAATTGAAAGTCCCGCGTTCACATACTTGTGGAACTTGATGCGCGAGAATTTGAGCTAATCATATTTATCCAATTTTTGATTTTATAAACAAAATAAGCACATTAATCTGTCGTTATTCTCGCAACTCTAAAGAAGTAAACAGTCTAGTGTAACGTACCGTGGGAAAAATAGTTCTGCAGTTCCCATCCCGCCACCATAACCTTTACATGATATTTTTGTCAATTTCCTAAGAGCACATGATGCCATAGCGCTTCACGAAGCATGTCCTCGACTATGAGAAGAATGGATAGCAGCGACCAATACGAAGAATCTTAGCCGCGGCGGCATGTGATAGGGCGGCCCTACAACAACTGATTGGTCCTCTCTTCCTAGGGCCAATCGAATCCTAGATAAAACCATTAGTATGGACAGTTTTAAACGGCTGTCCACAACCACAGGACTTAAACGCACAGTTTCCCTGATCAAAATACTGAAATTTTCTTCACGACCGACACTCAGACAAAGAATTTCTTATAGAAGCACCACCCGCACGATGAATCTGCACTGAAAGCCATCCAGAACCGTAAGCCGATATCGTGGCTGGCAGTTGACGTAAGTTCCTCATCAACCCGCCAACCGGCCCTTTTGATTGGTGTCTTCAAAAATCGATATATTGATCTTTTACAGCTCTTTATCAAGCACGGATCGCTACCATGGCTCAGCGGGTAATATGGTAAGTACTCTAATGATACCTTACAAGAGTGAGTCCTTTTTGTGGAATAAGTTTATTGATTTTCAGGAAACTGATCGCGGACCACCGCCACCACGGGGAATGTACAGAAATATAGCGTATTTTTGACAATTTTGTGAAACAATTTAGGACCGAAAGTCATGACGTGAGATGACAAACATAGCTTTATGATTTTCCTAGCTATTATTGATTGAATTATGAACATGGGTAGATCTCTTTCCTCGATCGATGTTTTTATGATGTAGCTTGTAGTTTGAGTATAGTGCAGTACGTGCCAAATGTCTAGTCTTTTTATGTTATTTATTGTTCATAAAATAAAACTATTTGTTCTTATTCAATTTACTTATGGCTGGCGAAAATGTTCATAACATCATTTGAATTTGAAGTTGATGAACTACGGAAAAAAATCACAAAAAATTGCTCCCTCAAAACTAATGGCACTAACTAATGGAGCCGTATGGAGTTCCTACCACAAACGTTTTTCTCTATTAGATAATCAATAAGTCAATCGGCTGAATCAATACGTAAACTACTTTGTATTATTTTCTGTGATTGGCCAATGAATAAGATAAAAATAAATACATAAAACTGAATTCAAGTGAAACATGGCTCTCTACATATGGTGCAGCAGTCAGAAATCCAGGCAGGAAAACTCGGGGCCAAAGTTCAATCTTGACCATTGCCATTTTGTCCACTACTCGGCATCTCTGCGATATGTAATAATTCCGTACATGTCCTCTGATATTGTTTTCGTGATTTTATCTTTTGAACGGTTCCACAGCCAAAGCGACTTAAAGGCACATTCCACGATTAAACTAATGTGGATTTTGTGAACGAAAATTGCTAAATTTTCAACCAGTGAAACTTATAATCTAAATAGTCTCGAGCCTAGGCGCGAAAATCGCTCTGGAGACAAGAGAGCATAAGGAACGGGAGCATATTGTGTAGAACATTTCTCTACCAACCTTTCTTTTTCATGAACACCAATTTTCCCACAAGTTTTGTCGTTATACATAGCCGCCCCACCACATCTTCCGTTCCACGCGTTCCCCTGGCCCCGCCCAAGCGTCCGGGAACTGTCCACAAATTTATTTGTTTATTTATTGGTCAATCACAGACAAGGTATGGCACAGCTGCAATCAATTATTTCACTACCGATTGACTTCACCTGAAATAGTCTAAAAGAAGGAGAAAAATTTTTACTGAGGTTGAAGTTGGTTTTTGGAGAACTGTTTCTTCTCGAAAACTGAATTCCTACATGGAACTCCGCAAACTGCATCTAATAATCACACATGATATGATACATTTTAGGAATGTTTAAAGGAAGTGGTCACGATAATTTCATGGGAACGATAAGGAAAGCTATGTATTGGAGTGGATAGGGGTCCTGCCCAATGTTAGAACACGTGAAGTTTCAGTGGCAGTGGCGCCTTATCAACGGAGTGATAAGGCGCCGAAATCCACTTCCGTTCAGCAAAAACCAAGACTTATCGATGTGGAAAGGGGTGCGATAAGAGCGTGCTAGATATGATACCGTTATCGTTATCGTCCCGTTTTCATTCTGGAGTGCTAACCT